GATGTACCTGACCAGTGGTAGACGGGCTATTTTAGGACCAAAAACGAAACCCATGTTATCGGGAGATTGTTGGAAGTTAGCAAGGAAACATTAAGGACCCCCAAAAAAATGAGGGAGGGTAATTTAATTTGTTTCTTTTTTTTTCTCCTTGGTTCCTGGTGGCTCCTATAGTTCCCTGTGTGGCTCCTGGCTTCTGTGGCTCCTTCGGCTCCTGTGTCCCTGGTGGCTCCTGGTGGCTTCGTGGCTTCTTGGCTTTTTGGCTTCTGGCTGCTTGTCTTTTAGCTTCTTTGGTACATGGCTCCTCCGGCTCCTCTGGCTTCTTCGGCTCCTTCGGCTCCTGTGGCTTTTCGCTCTTATGGCTCCTTCGGCTCCACATCTACACCTACGTCTATGTCTATATCTAAATCTCAATCAATCAATCAATCAATCAATCTTTCTTTCTATCTATCTATTTGTCTTTCTATGTATCTTACCCTATCTTACTCTATCTTACCCTATCTTACCCTATCTTTTCCTATCTTACCCTATCTTATCCTATCTTTTCCTTTTTATTCTATCTTTCCTATATTGCGAATGAATGTATCATGACCATGTGACGCTTTGCAAGGGGGAGGCGCCGCGCCCTGTTTTTTTTTTACTTGAATCCTACGTGGGTACTGCATGAGTATTGAGCATATTTATATACGCTGTCAAGGCTCACGAGAGGTATAGAGTAATCCTGTGGACACCACTCATGTGACGCTTTGCGGGGGGAGGCGCTGCCCCCTCCCGCCTTTTTATTTAACCCCCCCCCCGCGGCTTGTGACAACGCCAGAAAGGTGGATGATAAGGCCCACCTACATTGCAAATGAATGTATCATGACCATGTGACGCTTTGCGGGGGGAGGCGCTCCCCCCGCGCCCCCCTCCCGCCTTTTTATATTTGAAAGCCCCACCCGCGGCTTGTGACAACGCCAGCAAGGTGGATGATAAGGCCCACCTACATTGCGAATGAATGTGTCATGATCATGTGACCCAAGGCATTTCCAGGGGGGGAGGCCAAACATGTGGCTCTTGTTGAGTTACTTTGGTTATAGTTGAAAACACCAAACATACAAAGCGAACCAACCAAGCAACCGAGCAACCGAGCAACTGACCAGCCAACTAGCCACCCAGCCCACATGCTTGGTTTGTTTCTGTGCTGTGACAACGCCACGAAGGTGGATGATACGGCCCACCTATACTGTTCTGTTGGGGGGAGGCGCTGCGCCCTTGTTTTTGTCTTAACTTGAATCCTACGCGGGTACTGCATGAGTATTGAGCATATTTATATACGCTGTCAAGGCTCAAGAGAGGTATAGAGTAATCCTGTAGACACCACTCATGTGACGCTTTGCCGGGGGAGGCGCGTTGGTGCTTTTTTCAGGAACATGGCACTGGTGCCCGATGCATGTCCAGGAGGGAGGCCTGTATGGCTCTTGTTTTGTCAACCTTTTGTTAGTTTGGTTCGGTTGAACGCACACACACACACATCAAACGACTACAACCAAGACAGCGAAGAAGCGAACCAGCCAAGCAACCAAACAACCAACCAACCAGGCAACCAGCTAACATGCTTGGTTTGTTTCTGTGCTGTGACAACGCCACAAAGGTGGATGATACGGCCCACCTATACTGTTCTGTTGGGGGGAGGCGCTGCGCCCTTGTTTTTGTTTTAACTTGAATCCTACGTGGGTACTGCATGAGTATTGAGCATATTTATATACGCTGTCAAGGCTCAAGAGAGGTACAGAGTAATCCTGTAGACACCACTCATGTGACGCTTTGCGGGGGGAGGCGCATTGGTGTCTTTTTCAGGAACATGGCACTGGTGCCCGATGCATGTCCAGGAGGGAGGCCTGTATGGCTCTTGTTTTGTCAACCTTTTGTTAGTTTGGTTCGGTTGAACGCACACACACACACACCAAACGACTACAACCAAGACAGCGAAGAAGCGAACCAGCCAAGCAACCAAACAACCAACCAACCAGGCAACCAGCTAACATGCTTGGTTTGTTTCTGTGCTGTGACAACGCCACAAAGGTGGATGATACGGCCCACCTATACTGTTCTGTTGGGGGGAGGCGCTGCACCCTGGTTTTTGTTTTAACTTGAATCCTACGTGGGTACTGCATGAGTATTGAGCATATTTATATACGCTGTCAAGGCTCAAGGGAGGTATAGAGTAATCCTGTGGACACCACTCATGTGACGCTTTGCGGGGGGAGGCGCTGCGCCCCCCTCCCGCGCCCCCCTCCCGCCTTTTTATTTTAAAGCCATGCCCGCGGCTTGTGACAACGCCAGAAAGGTGGATGATAAGGCCCACCCACATTGCGAATGAATGTGTCATGATAAGGCCCACCTACATTGCGTCCATTCCAACATAGTAGACATACACCTTTGCAAGTCAAAATGGGAATGGCAGCTGACCATTGCTGTGTGGGGGCCTGGAACTGGTGGCCCGGTGGCCCAACGACTCAGCTGCCTTGCAAGTAGGGCTGTGTGGCTCGAACGCTAGGTCCTGGGAATTGGGTACGCTTGGTCGCTGGGCCAGGTAACTTACACGCATGGAAGTTCGATTCCCGCACGTTCTCATCTTTCTTGGCATTACCAAACCTGTCGCAGCCAACCTGCTCAGCTTCGTCTACTGTCCTCCTGCTACTTCCTCTGGGTTTTAGCGCCAGGCTTGACCTATTGGCCTCTGGCCATTTGGCTTTTGGCTCTTTGGCCTTTTTCAAGCGTACTTCATCGCGTAGCCGTGCGTTGTTGTGCAAGCTTCCGTATACAGCAGGCCCACCCACCCGTGCCTGGAAAACATGATGGAAAGAATGGTTTTTGTAGCCCATTGGATTCAATGTTGTTTGGCCCAGTGCCTCGTTATTGAACAGCTTGCGAACCAATACGTGTTCCTTGTGCGATGACTCGTACATGTCGGCGTCGACCAAGCCCACCCAACCGTCCCTCCCAAGTATATTCCTTTTTTAATATACTTTTTCTGCTAGTAATAACCGCTTTACCAATGACCCCCCCAAAAAAATTAAATCATCAAAAAATAATTTAAACATATTTTTTTGATGATGCAATGCACAGATTTCATGATGCTTGTATTTTGCGTTTGGCTTGCGCAGGCCAGGATATGAGGGAATATTTTTTTTGATGAGTTTAATTTTTTTTTGATGGGAACTTAAATTTCTTTTTGATGACTTTTATTTTTATTTTTGATAGCTGACTCATATAATAACCATATATTAACAGTATATTACCTACCAATGGTAGGTCAACCACCAACCATGGAAATTTGCCGAGCGTTTCGGGACAGCGACACGGCCCGACTTTCTGCTGACACTGCTGGGATGGTTTTTCGGGATGGTGACGGGATGGTGACACAACGGGTCAGAGTTGAAGGCGACAGCTCAATCATTTACCAAATCTTATGGTTATTATATGGTTAATGATGGTTAATAATGGTTAATAATAACCTGGTTGGTGATCCATTTGCTGGTCTACCCTCTGGTTATGTCAAAATAGCTATTGAAAATGGCCCAGTCGAAATAGTGGATTTTCCCATGAAAAGCATGGTGATTTTCCAGTTCGTTATGTAAACGTTTACCAGAGGCTACCAAATCTTCAAACATCTTCAGCAGCTGTATCGCCAATGAAGCGACGCAAAACGACACTCAGGCGCCTGCTCGCACCTTGGAGGCCGAAAGGATCACGGACATGTCAGTGACCGTTAAACGTTTTATGTAGAGAATTCATTAACTTAAAAAATCAGTAGCCTCTGGTTATGACTAAAAAGCCATGGTATAGATGGCCCAGTCGAAATAGTGAGTTTTCCCATAAATAGCATGGTGATTTTTCATAGTTATGTAAACGTTTACCAGAGGGTAAACCATAATTCCAGAGAATTTGTGAGATCTATATTTGTACTTAGTCCAATCCAAATGCCAACAGTTTGTAAGAACATTTAAGAACCATCCGACTCTTTTTTCCAACTTGCGGGTCATTTTGTAGCAGAGGATAGCATACCTAAGGCCAAGTTCGCTAAACACGAAAGGGCGATATCCCCTATTGGTGCGTTGCGACTAGGTAGCAGTGTCAAAAAGAGTTGCCCATTCGCCGCTATTAATTTTGCTCTTTCAACTAGCAAAAAAGTAAATAGAACTGGATTGAATCGGCCCAATATATCCAATTGAGGATGTTATTGGGGACATGTACCCAGTTATTGGATATCAATTCAACAACCATATGTATATATACCAAATTATACCATTATATACCTGGAAAGCCATAAAGACTCAACATTTTCTGCCACGGGTTTGGACATGTTTTTAACGTTCGTTACGTTTTTTTCCAAATACGGCCATGTCCGGCTGCAAACCCTCTACTTACAGGTCAATAGTTTTTCTGAAATCTTTGATTTGTCGGACTGGTTCCGACAGTGTGAGTGTCTCGTCTAGAGACCGTATTTGGGGCAGTGACATCTGCTTATTGTTTTTTTTTCAACATGATGTTGAAAAAAAGTAGTATTTTATGGGTACATCCAAATTTGGTGGGAACAATGGCAGTATTTGCGGCCAGATTTTGGGTACCCTATCACGACTCCCAATTTGCTCCATTTCGGGCTGAATTTCCTCTTTTGGAGACTGTCGGAGGATGTCCGCACCCGGTGCTGTCAAAGGATTTGAACAACCATTCACAATCAAAAACCAGCATAAGCAATTGAACAAAAAAAAGGTTCGTTACGGGTAAAACCCATAATGGACAAAAGACATGTCCGGGCGGTTTTCCATATATATATATATATTTATATTATATATATTATATATATATTATATATTATATATATATTATATATATATATTATATATATATATTACATTATATATATATATACATGTAATAGTCAAATAATTCCTTAAATATCCCCAGCATATCAATCCATATCCCACCAGTGTCTTTTACTCACAAGCTCGACCTTCAGACGCAGCAGCTGCGGGCCTTGGAAACCGCGACTTTGTCCACAGGGCTTTCCATGGCAGGAACGGTGTTTTATGGTGAGTTGATGGTGATTTTTTGAGGTTTTTTGATGCTGATTATATGGGAAAAATGAAATTTGTATGAATATCATTATATATTGATTGAATATTTATATGAATACACATATATCAATACATAATTATTGATTGAATATTTGAATATTGATTACATACCATTATATGAATATATATATATATATTCACATAATGATGGTAATGCTCGTAATTGGGCTACTACTTCCCCTGCTGCTATTGTTTCTTTGGGTGCGTAACATATAGCCCCGCCCTCACTTCGCCCCTTGGGATTTCTCACCCTTTGGTTGACCGGCATGATTCAAGCCTCGTTTCACTAAGGAACAAGGTTTCACTTAGGTCTCTTTGTCCTTAGCCGGTGTTCCTCATCTGGATCTGGCTTAGCTACGATGGGGGCATTTATATAGTTCGATGATTTGCCTTTAAGAAATGGTGTTGTTTTCCATAGCGCATGGAAAAAAAATCACCGGTATATCAACCATTCCCATAAGATATCCCACTACAGTATATCCCATGAAAAAACACAATTGTTGTTGATTTATTCCCAATCTTTCTTGCTTAAACCACCAGAGGGTAGACGTATTTTTCTTAAAAAGTTGGTAGTCGATGAGGCTGAAGAGCCTGATGAAATACCTCAGTTGCACATGGAATTTCCACATGATGAATATTGGAAATGGAAAGGTAAGATCATCCCCATTCATGTCCCATGAAATCCCCAACCTTTCTAAAATGTCTCATGGTTCAATCACTCGTCTAGCAATGAAACCATGCTATAGACCATATCATATGAACATCCCGCATTGGGCGTAGATCCCACATTTCAGAGAACACCGCATATCGTATTATTGTTGATATCCCATGATTTCCTCATATTTCCTCATAACATACGTTTAAATCACCGTAGTTTTCATGGTGAATTTCCTTTTATTCTGAGATAACAATCTTTTAATCAATCTTTGGTGGGATCCACTTTTTCCATACTTAAGCCACCATGTCTGATGGTGAAATCCAAATGTTAAAACCAGCATTTTTCATGGTCAAATATCTGATTTTCTCATGATGAAATCACCTTTTTTCATGGTCAACCACCACTCTTTTCATGGCGAAATCAGAGGTTTTTCCAATTTTTTCCATGTCAAATCACCTAAATCACCCATGGTTTTTCATATTTAAATGCATTAAACCACCATAAACCGCGATTTTTCCCTGGTGAAGTCCCCCAAATTTCCTTTGGCGAAGGAGCTCTGCCAGCCTTCGCCACCTGGGGCGAGGGCTCGGAACCAGGGCAGAACATCGACCCGGCAGGGAAGCCCAGCCAGCCGCGGCCCAGGGCCCATCGGTTTACACCGCCGGGGATGTCACCAGAAATGGATTGGTTGGGAAAATCTGAACCGGAAACCCATGGTTTTTACATGTTTTTACCATGAAATATAGGGCAAACATCTGTAGATTTTCCCGAAAAAAACAATCCAATGACACCAGAAATCTGAGAGGAAAACCATGGAAAAAGTGGGATTTAACCATGGATTTGACCATCGCAACTCGGGATTTTTCAGAAAATGAGTGAAACTGAGGGTGAAACTGTGGGATCCATGATCCAACCATGGTCACTGGGTCATGATGGTGTAGTATAGCGGAATCATCCCCTTTTGAAAAAGCCAACATTTTAGGTTGGTGAATTATCCATGGAATTATCCACTGGTTGGTGGTGACTGGAACCACTGGAACCATGGAATTTTGAATGACTATCCCATGACTATCCCATCATATTGGGAACTTCATGATCCCAACTGACGAACTCAGCCCATCATATTTTTCAGAGGGTAGGTCAACCACCAACCAGGTTATTAACCATCATTAACCATATAATAACCATATATTAACAGTATATTACCAACCAATGGTAGGTCAACCACCAACCAGATGAGAAACCACTGGACTTGGTCATAAGGATCAGGGTCCAGGGTCCAGGGTCATGGTGGTAGATCACTAGTTAAAGCAACGTTGGACACGAAAGCGCACGCATTAGTTTTTCAGAAGCAACGGATGATCATCATGTTTTCCACTGATACTGCATTTCTTGGGTGTGTTTTCCCTAAAAACATGATTTTTGGACACACCCAGCCGTGATTCACTGGTAAGTAATGTAATATATATATATACATATATATATATATATACATATATATATATGTAAAATCCATGTTTTGAATGGCTAAATATTATTTTGGTTGGTTAAATCCACATTTTTGATGAGGCCCAAATTTTGAAGACGCCGGCAGGATTCCACTGAGTACTACAACCGTAAGGCAGGAGCTGATTTGGTGGGTTCCAGCATCAGTCGCCATTTTTCTACCAACAAATATGGGGATATGTGTATACACATATATACTGTATATATATATAGTATATGTATATAAATATATATATATATATGTATATATATATATGTATATATATATATATGTATATATATATATATTCACATCAAAATATTGTGTGTGTATATAAGCCAGAGATTTCTTGCTGGTTTCAAGATGTTTAGAATTGATCCATGTTCCCAATTCATAGGGATAATGATTCCCGCACCAAGAATGGTGAAGAAACACCACGGGAATGGAGATGGGTTGATGGGTATATTGATGGACATTACGAGGAACGGGGACCACATCCACTGGTCAATGCGGATGTCAACCGGATGAATACACACCAGATAGGATTAAAGATAGGATTCCCTGTGAACACACATATGGAGATTTCCTGAAATGGAAGTACCCCCAAATCATCCATAGGTCCATAGATTCGGTTTTTTCCATTAAAAAAACCATCCAGCTATTAGGGTACCCTCATTTATGGAACCCCCCATATGTATTTTTTTTTACACAACATATTCGGGTTCTGTGACAGTCAGTTCCAATGACTTGATGATGTCCCAGGTTGACGTTTGGCTGAAAATCGGGGATTGACCCCTAAACAGTTCAGTTTACCCGGCCTGGTAAATGTACAAAAAGCTATTGAAAATGGCCCAGTCGAAATAGTGGATTTACCCATGAATAGCATGGTGATTTTCCATAGTTTTTTGTATGTTTACCAGAGGGAGCTATTTTTTAGCAGAATATTCTGATCATAAACATAAACATAAACCAATTTGGACGCCCAATGGGCTTCCCATTCTGAAGGACAATCCTGTGATTTTTGAGGCATCGGGTCTCCCACTTACTGTAAGGATTCAGTTCCAGTTATAATTGGATATAATATGATATAATAATAAGATCATATATATAACTTTAATATAACCATAACTCCAGGGCCATATCACATCTTACAGGGGTAAAAAAACACATGGACATAGCTATCACGAAAAACCCCAACTGCATCTCCCATTCCCCATGAAATCATTGCTTAAATCCGGTATTGTTGGATATATATATATATATATATTCCACTACATGCCCCATTACATGCCCATCATTTTTGTTGGTTCCCCTACGCAGCACAGTGGTTTCTTCGCCAGAAACGTCGTCAGGTGTTGAATGCCACCGCGATTTGCCTCACCTTCGCGGTCTTTCTCTTTGGCCTGGTCGTCAGCCAGGAACCGCGAGAGAAACGCGAGAGATGGATGGCGGGATCTGTCTCGGGGTTTTGTCTTTGAAAAATCGTGGGCCAACATGGCGTTCTTACTGTTTTTAAGTCACAGTTCTTGTTCAATGGAGTTCTTCGTGTTTTTTTTAAGGTTTTGATGTCATTGTATTGAATTGCTTTTAATGGTTGTTTAGTTGTTTACGTTCCTTTTTACTGGTTCTTAATGGTCTGGTCCTGGCTTTTAAAGCGACAAGGTGGAGCATTTCGAAAAAATATAAAGACCGACGGATGCATCAGCTATTGATTTCATCCCGGGATGCTGACAACTTGTTTGTAGTTGATTTGTGTGTGTGTGTGTTCAAGTGTTTTGGTTTAGGGTGATTTTTAACTTTCTGATTGTTTCTGTTTGCAAGGGGCGTTTCGACAACCGGCCAGAAAACACACGCCGGCCAATCAAAACTGTTGCATTGTTATTGTTCCTCAGGGGTTGGTTGATGTTTTCTATTTTCATCTACTTGCATGCGTATGGTATGGGTCAAGATTTGTGATTGTCCCCCAAAAAAACAAAGAACACCCATGGACAGACGTGTGGGTAAAACAAGAATAAACCATCCCCCAGTCATGACCATGTTTATAGGTGGTATAAACCATTCCCAGTCTTGGGTGGTTTATGATGTTTATGGCATTGTTTTTCCCAATCTTTGGACGACTTGACTTCTAGCTCCTTCCGGAGGCACGAAAGTTGGTGGAGAACAAGTGGCTCAACTGAGACCGCCGTTTCGACCTGTCTCAACTTAGGGCGTCTTTTTACAAAACATCGGTGGCGAAACCTGCGCGTCTCAAAAGGGACATCTCCGGCGATGACGTGAGGAATCCCATGCTGGGATGAGGGCACCCAAGGTTCCCCTTAAAATGGGGGGGTAGCTACCACAACGATTGGTTTACCAATCGACAAATCTTGGATTCTTGGGGTGCCTCATAATAGGGGAACCTCTTTTTTTTCGTGGAAATCATCTAGCCAAATAATATACATATACGTATGTACATAATATATTAATATGTGTATATGATATATGAATACATAATATATGAATATATAATATATGAATATATAATGTATGAATATAATATATATATATACACACACATATCAGGTCTCTTTCAATACCATTGTGCCATATTTTGGCTCTTTATTTGTGTGGTGGGCAGCTTTTTCGAGTCATATTGGATGACTGGCACTGCAGGCTTCACTGTGTCGGGATGAATCTGTAGATCCTCGAAGGTTGAAACTTCCTCAGCAAAAAAAAGAACACGTAGCGACGTAGCATGGAGTTATGGAGTGTCTAAGTTTTATAATATTGGATTATGGGAAAAATTTAACCGGAAAGCCCCATATTTGATAGTAAAAACCCATGGGTTTCCGGTTCAGATTTTCCCAACAAATCCAATCCAGTGTCTAAGTTATGTTTTTTTTTAGAGAACTGCGCTCTAAAAATGGTCTATCATGGTCTATCTATTTTCTGGGTTCCTGTGGTAATTTTCAGATTTGGTCGTGGCAATGGCCCTGGTTGATTGCCAATGTTGCCATGTGGTGCGCGCGGTTTTTTCTGCGACCCATTGCGGGCATCGCGGGCACAACAGCAGAAGCGGCCTGTCGAGGCTGGATGTCAAAGTTACATGGACAGTTTTGGTAACTTCTACGTCTACCCCAATTTGTCTGAGCTATAGATTCTCTCTTTCTTTATTTTAATCTAGGAAAATCTAATTACTGTAGATTATTTATACTATTTACATTCTTAATCATTATCATTTTTTGGTGCTGTTGTTGCTTACATTGATATTTATCGAAGGAAGTTTAGGAGTCAAACTTCCGACAATATGGACAGATGAAAAGCAGAGCAGGGCAGAGGCAGAGAGAAGAGAAAGATTAGAAGAGAGAAGAGTAGAAGAGAAAGAGTCAGAAGAAAGAAGATGCAGATGCGCGAAAAGGTAGGAAAGTCGCGAAACACTGTGTTTTTCCAATGATTTGAGGCTCCGGACGGTCGAAAAGTAGGCTCGCTAACGGAGCCAGCTGGCCAGATGAGAGATGAAAAATTGCACGCCGTTGTGGCGCGAAGCACATTTCCAAGTCAAAATGTTAAAAACACAAGGGGTTCGGACCACTTTTGGAGGTTCAGATGTCGCTTCGCTTCGCTTCGCTTCACTACACTACACTACATTACACTACACTACACTCCACTACACTACACTACACTACACTACATTACACTACCCTACACTACGTTCCACTACACTTCACTACATTACACTACACTACATTACACTACACTACACTCCACTACACTACAACTACAACTACAACTACACAACTACACTCCACTACACTCCACTACACTAAATTACACTACACTACACTACACTCCACTACACTACATTACACTACACTACATTTCACTGAATGACACTGCGCCACAGATAGACAGGTAGACAGATAGACAGATAGATAGATAGATAGATAGACAGATAGACAGCTAGACAGCTAGACAGATAGAGATAGACAGATGAAAGAGAGAGAGAGAGATATAGATAGATAGATAGATAGATAGATAGATAGATAGATAGATAGATAGATAGATAGATAGATAGATAGATAGATAGGTAATTAGATGAAAGAGAGAGAGAGATAGATAGATAGATAGATCGATAGATAGATAGATAGATAGATCGATACATAGAAGATAGATAGGTAGGTAGGTAGATAGTCAGAGAAAGAGAGAGAAAGAGAGGAGACCTCAAGCACCTTTCGGTCCATCAGTGGATTCGCTCTGCCATCCCTGATTCACAAAAACCAATCTCTCCTATAGGTTTCCTATTTTTGAAACTTCCGCCGCCGCCTTGCGCGGTGCTACTGGTAATATATATATATATGTATATTATGTGTCAGTGTATGTGTATATATATATAGAGTCCTTTGTTGCGTGTGTGTTTTACCTTTAACTTCTGTGGGAAAAGCTGGTGATTTCCATACCCATTATGGGCCGCATTATGGGATTTATCGTTGGAGAATTACTCATCTCCATCATTTCTCGGCAGATACAAAACATCATTAGTCTTAATACTGTGGATGGGCAAGCGAAATCCTGCACCAACGTGCATGGTTGAAAGCCTTTAAATTATAAGAGCGAAGGCGCAATTCCATTGAATGACTGCGTAGCTTTTTCGGATCCAGCTTTCTCGCCTCGCACTGCTTTCAGCTTCAGATACATCTCAATCCATCTCAATGCGGTGCTTGCACGTTTGACCTAACTTCAACTTCGCCGGAGAAGCCCACACAACATGCAATCCTTTGCACACCATTCAACTCAGGGGATGACTGAGCACGCCATCTCTCAGGACTTGGAGGATTTCCTGGCAACTCTGCCGAAAGAGAGGGAGCTCTATGCGCCGCTTGGTTCAATTAAATTCTTTCTGAGCCGTAGCAGATGCAAAGAAGATACAGAATTGCTGACCTGACGCGCACAAGGAAGAACCTGGCCAAAGTTGCAGCCTGTCGCCCGGAGCAGGAGCAGCTTGGCTCAACGGGCCGCCGCCAGCTGCACAACTGCTCAAAGTGCCCCACTGAGGAATGGAGACTGGTGGATTGTTTCCCCAGACGCGGCTGAGCGCCCGGAGCTCGGAGAAACAGCAACAGGACTTACCATGGCCGAGGAGGTCTGTTTAATGATGCCAAGGCGAAGGCTATCCGATGGCAGCAACCACGGCCGCTCGTGAGCTCTTGCCCATCCCAGGTGATGTGCCCGAACCCCTTGCCACATTGTTGCCCAGCTGCATTACTGTCGCCAGCCCCTCGGTTGCTGGCTGTTGCAGTGCCTGAACGGAAGCCAAGGTGCAGACAACTGCGTCCTGGCCTGACATTCTCAATGTACAGGCGCGCCGCGGGCAGTGCCCGACAGGTCGTGCAGTCCTCAATGCAATGCTTGTGTGGACAGATGTGGGCCGGGCCATTCATTGACATCACAGGTTTTGATGAGGGCGGACGACCTCCCGTCCAGGGTTTATGAAGCGCCCTGGACGGAGGAGGACACGGGGCGCCCTTTCCTGGAGAAATGGGAGCCTGAGACTCAACCAAGATGTCATGCGGTCTGCTGGACTGTGCAGAAGCTGTTTGGTGGCTGAGGCCTGGTGACTACCTCATCCACAAAGCCCCCGAGGATAATTACTTCATCAAGGCCACCGAGCATCAAGCCAACTACTGGGAACTCGGTACCTGGAAAGCAGATTTGGCAGATTTGGATAGATTTGGTGTAATTTTGCCGCGTTCAGCTCTTCTTCTTGCCGCAGTTGCATTTTTCCCAGCGCATGCCACTCTGACTTGGCACCATGCCAAGACATGCTTTTGCCGTAGGGCCTCTTCGGTTTCTCTTGGCGTGCGCTGGGGTGATTGGGTCATTCCCCGGGAAACCCCTGTTGGCTTCGAAGCCTATTTCTTGAAGTTGTTTCTTGCACCTCAGGCCTCAGCCGAAGATACGCGTGGGGTCTTGAGCGACGCACGCACCAGCATGATAAACATGGTCCATGCACATCATGGACCTGATGCGGTGAACTATACAAGAACAGGGCGCAAGGTAACTACCAACAACAACCGGAAGGAAACTGCCTGGCTTGAGGGGGTGAGGTTGGCAGGCTCACGCCGATATGCGCACGCACTTGTACCCCCGACGTGCCCCATGCACTCATTGCGCCACACGCTCCTGCACGTATTTGCATTTAATCTTTTCACCCGCCACGCATGCCACGCTCCGCACGTTTCCTTGCTTTTTGTGCACCAGCTCAGCATTCGAACGCAGTTCTGAGGTAACGACGAAGGACCGAAGAAGTACATTGCTTCCTGCTTGCCGGGGGCGGCAAAGAAGGCGGCTGTGTTGTCCAGAACTCTTGCCTGAAGACCCGCACGAGAGTTATTTCTTGCATGGGGCTTCTTGGGGCACTTGGCTGGCCCCGCATGCCAGGCAAGAACGGGATGAGCACAGGCAGAAAGTTCCTGTGACTGTTTTGATTGAACCCACTGCCTGGTGCAATATGGTGCAGTACTGCTAGTAATGTAGCATGATTTTTGTATCGCATTCTGCGGTAACTCATCACTACCCCACCGCATGTTTCCCACACGCGTGCAAGAGTTGCATCACATCTATTTCATCACAATTACATCACACCATCGGTCATTATTCACCATGCGCCCCTGGCAGTTGTATCATCATGCATGGTAAATTCGATTTTGCTGCTAGCCTCCGGACTGCAGCCGATAAGAGCAATACTCCGCGTGGCAGAAAAAAGGGCCGGGTAAGCAACAGCAATGAGTCTTGTTGACGACAGAGTGAGGTCAACAAAGGCGGTTCATCACTGTCGCAATGACAACAAAGTCAAACATGTTTCTGTTTCATGTGGCTCCAGTTGCGGACTGATTCAGCAGGTGCTCAGCAATCGGTGGTCAAATTTGACATCACCCGCTAGTAAGGACCCAGCGTGATCCTGCTTGGCCAAAAGCTTCAACTAATAGTACCCTCTAGGTGTATCATGTGACATGTGATGAGTTCAGACCGATTGGGTCACAAAATTGGTGAAGCTGACAGATCTGTTTGCGGGCATCTTCCATTCCTCCGCATCATGGACGGGGCCTTGACTTGGAGAAGGCTCCTCTTGCGTGCCCACTCGAGTTCAAAGCGCCAGGGTCGGGTTAGACTGGCGAACAAAGCCGAAATTGTTATGACTCACCCTTAGTTGCAACACTTACCTCTAGCTGGTTGACAGATGCACGTACACGTGTAATTATTGTATGTACAAGTAC